GTACTAAGATAGGCCCCCCAAGTAGTTTCAGCCCAGGGCCCCACAAATTCACGATCCGGTCCTGCACGCCTGTGTTGCAGTTTCTACGATTAGAATGTAACTGCAAAACTAACAGTATAGTAAGTTGTTTTGTTAAATAATAATGTAAATGAAAGTATAAATGTAGGTATTTAACTACATATATTTTATATTAAGTCTTTAGTTAATTCGACCGTAGAGTGTTGTGATTTATAGAGTAATGAAGTTTTAACTATTGCGTGTGATACGCCAATCACAAAAGAGTGGATATTTTTTCTTTATGTAAGCGGTCATAGTGAAATGTGTTAATAAATACCTAACTAGTACTTGTAATGAAATGGATTTACCCGAAAATAAGTTGATAAATTAATTTTCTTTATAGCTCAAGGAAGTGATTGTGCTATTTTTTTTCCTCAGCCAATCCAGAATTCATGGTTGTGGCGGAGTTTTGGGCCGACGCTGTGTAGATTTGTTGTCGACACGACAAGAAGAAGAAGATTTCATGTTTATATTTGATAATATACCCATATGATTCATATTGGTGTCGATTCATATAATACATAGTTAGGCAAACAATACACTATTGTGTTGTGGCGCACCTGTATTTAGGGCTGCCAATAAAGGATTAAGGGTAACAAAATATGTAATGCAAAGTCGGTAATAAGAAAAAATGATTTGAATTTTCTTTTAAAAAGTATGGACCAACTAAATTAAAACAACTGAATGATACTTTTACCCCTCGAGGTATTCGAACCCGCAACGCTGTAGGCGTTGTTACACTGCTTTGCTGTACTGACATGACATGACGACTGCGTCTAGAATTGTCTCTTTGAAATATTATGTAGGTATGTATTTAAACCAAACATTGCATCTTAAGCAATCCTGTCACATTAGAAGGCTACCTATATTAATTATGATTTTCTGCATTTATTTGCCATTTTATTTTTTAATTTAATAAGTATTAAGCTAGTAACCCTACGTACATGCGCACGCGTCTCAAAGGAGACCTTTTTACTATGAGCGCGTTTATTATTCAGCGCGCATAAATTTGTCATTAGCTGAGGACGCACGCGCACGCGCCGGCCGTAGCACGTCTCAAGATCTATTGGTCAATACAGAGGAAACTATTCTAACAGCTAGCATGATACGAATCGATATAATCGAGCTGATTAAAATGATCGGATTATCGCATATTAACGATCCTCGATTGACTGACAGTGGCTGGTGGTGCTGAAATTTGCCTGAGACTACGTATGGAACACTGGGTTTGATTCCCATGCAGTCGGGTCAATTAAAAAGTGATATTTTCTGTGAGGACATTATTGTTTTTGTAGTTAGATACCAATGACGATCGATGTGTTGTCTCGCGCATTGTTTTAAATATGTACTTCTAATTTAAATAAAAATATAAACGGAAAGCACGGAAAAATTTAACTACTAGTTAGTTACCTACATATAACTTGAAGAACTTGAAGTAATTATTGAAATCGGAACTAGATTAATTAGTTTAGAATTAATGTTTTTATGATTACGTGAGCGTTGATGTCTTTTATACTGGGGTTTCTTTAAAAGTGAAGGTATTAAGCCTTATGTACACTGTTCTATGTGCATATAAGTTCAAAATAAATAAATAAGACGTATCCTGAATTCCTGAGTGGTGGTGTTGGTACATATCGTTGTTCTCTTATCTTCACTCTACTAGCGTACACTTTGAAAAACATCTTGTAGGTACGAGTATTTCACTTTTTTGCTAGTTGTTATATTCGTTGCCATCCTTTCACATTCTTAGAATTTAACAAAATATACTTATTTAGTTCTCTATTTATTTTATTATTTTTTAATTTTACCAAATTTACATTCTTCAAAAAGAAATCTCGGGCGATTTGCAAAAATTGGCCAATGAATTTAAAACGATAGTTATTATGCTTACAGTACTAAAATGCTCTAAATGCATAGACATTAATTTTATATGTTATTTATGTATATTAGATTGTGCATATTAGTTGAAACTTTCAAGGTGTACATCTAAAAATACATACACAACAAGGTCAAACACCAATTGGATGTAATTTAGGCAGTCTAAAAATAGGTAACAGTCGAGTTAGGTAATGCAATCATGTCAATCATCATGCAGATCTCAAAGGAATTGAATTTGTAGCAAGTAACAGCATTATGAGCAATTTAATTTATTTTATTGCCTGTTTTCCACGGCCAAAGAGGAATTTATTTATTTTATTTTGCTTTTCCACCGAGAATACAATACAAAAATAGGCCGTTTGGTGTAGTGGTTCAGAACGGACTACTATGCCGAGAGGTCCCGGGTTCGATTCCCGGCCGGGCAGAAATTGAAATCATGAATTTTAATTTCTGTGACGGGTCTGGATGTGACTATGTATAATATTTATGTATTTAAAAAAAAAGTATATAAGTAGTATATCCGTTAAGCTAGCACCCATAACACAAGCATTAAGTTGCTTACTTTGGGGCTAGCTGGCGCTGTGTGAAATTGTCCAAAGATTTATTATTATTATTATTTTGTACGCTTTGGAGCTCACGGGTCAAAAGTGGCCCGGTCCTTTATAAGGCTTGCGTGGGGATACAGATCCAACACGTAGAGGCCGTTTTAAGCGCAAAATAATCGACAAAAGTGAAAGTGGTGCACATGCTGGATCTAGTCTCTGACTATATCATGGGATGTAGCCAGAGACCATCCCCAGCCTGTGCACAGGAGCTATTGCAGTTATTGGAGAATGGACTAGGGTTATGGATGAAGGATGGATGGACTGGTTACTGGGCTATGGATGGAGACTACGGGACACCTGCCTGGTTCATAGTCTCGGACTGAAAAAATGGCAGGCGGTGACTAGCCAGCGACTAAATGGGCCCCCCCTGGCGTCATGGGTCGTATAGACCGGACTGAGGGGCAACATTGGCGTCTGCCAGCTCAGGGGTGTAGAGAGGTGTGCTGCGCTTTCTCCGAGGTTACTCGCGGCGTTATGCCCTTTAACACTTCCTCCCCTGGAGCATATAGCTCTAGCGACTCCACTCTGGCCGGCCGGTTAAGGCAAGCCAGAGGTGAAAGTCCTGCAGACCCTCTCGGATTCCACTTCGGCAAGCCGAAGACGAGGGTCTTGACCGACTCTCGGGAGCACTCGGATTAACAACTGGCCCCGTGGTGTCGCTACTCACCAACAGCTCGCCACAAAGCTGCCCTGCGGGGCTTATTATTATTATTATTATATTATTATTAAATACTCGCCATACAAAAATGCATACATTATGCATTTTTTTATTGCGAGGTAAACAAGGTTATTATTGGGCTCACCTTACTCGTGGTGGAAAACCCGCTTTATGCTTTTAAAATGGCCTTTTTTTACATCCAAGAAAATGTAAATGCTATTACTATAACATTTAAACCCTTTTATTTATTACTTATTTACAGGGAAACTTTTTTAAAGGCGAATAAATTAAATAAAATTCTAAAATATCTTCCATTCAGGCTTTGTTTAAAACTGCTCTACATTGGATCACTGCCAGTGTATCGAGAAAATAAATCTCTGTCATAATGTGTGTACACTGCCCTCTACCCCGCATCACTGTAGCTAAGTTAATATTCAAGCCTTCGTAAAATAGGTAGAGTTCACACAGATAACAAACAAGCACGGATAAACCTTAGTGCGTAGTGTTGACTACATAGTCTAGATGGCGCCACAATATGAATATTATAACCCTTTGAACATTACAAAATATTTTATGTGTAATTCATAACTTTAGAGAAGCACGATTTTGATTATGTTTAAAATAGGTACCTACTATTTCTCGTTTTTTAAAGACTGACCCCCAAAAGTAGAATCAAGTAATGTGTAAGTCTAAAGTAGTTACCTAAATGTTCGCCATGTTTATTGTTATTAGTTCCAAACTGATTTTTAGGTATAACGTGTAACGTTAATAGGACGCTATACATATTCGTAATTAAATGAAATACAATATGTAAATAAAAATAAAATGAATAAAGTTCCTAAAATTATTTTAATTACATATTACTTACTACTAAAAGATAATTATAATTATTATACTATTACAATACAATTATTATATCCTTCGACTCAAAAGTACTAATAATAACTAGGACAATTTCTCGTAGCTGCTACGACTACGATCTACGACCCGTAGTCGTTTCGTTCTACGCCATTTACTACGGTGACCTATTTGTGCGCTGTAATAATTTAGTTCATGTAAGTTTATAGGGAACTAGCTTTCCGCCCGCGGCTTCGCCCGCGTGGAATTTTGTCTGTCACAGAAAAACTTTATCGCGCGCGTCCCTGTTTCAAAAACCGGGATAAAAACTATCCTATGTTCTTTCCCGGGACTCAAACTATCTCTATGCCAAATTTCATCAAAATCGGTTGCGAGGTTTAAGCGGGAAAGCGTAACAGACAGACAGACAGACAGAGTTACTTTCGCATTTATAATACATATTAGTTGGGATAGGTAACATTTTACATATTATATTGATCACATAACTTATGTGGACGTTTCTGGTTTATTAATTTGGTGATACTTGAAGGGTCGACTTTATTTTTATAAAACTTTTATTTTAGTTTATAAGTGCAGTAAAAAATAAACTTCCATCGTAAAATAATATTAAGCGAAGAAAACATGTTTGTTTCATCTTAATGTTTTTAGAATGTAACTTTTAGGATTTATTACAAGTCATGTTGTTTAAACAAACATGCTTCGAAGCCCTTTGATTTACATAGCACTCAATAATTTGTTGCGATAAGTGAGAGTTCAGATTTCGCTTAATGACCACTTAGTAGTTTTCCACAATTGACCGCTGTTTACAAATCGAAGTGCAGTATGTATTATGCTGCAGCGTGTGAACAGCGATTAGGTCCATTATCAGTGTTTGTCTCCAACTTCATTGTTGTGGGCGCAGCGTGGTACGGAGTCACCCCGCGGCGCGAAGGTCGTCAGTCCGTGGGGTCGCGGCGTGCGCGCGCCACTCTGTCGCTGTCGCTCTCAGTCGATGGGCGTCCGCCGACCTGCCGGCCCGCAGCCAGCCTCCCGCGACACCCAAAACACCGCACGCGTTCAAAACAAAACACCGTGTTCGTTTCACTAGACACACTTCTAGACGAAAACGAGACAATACTAGTGGTACCGGTGATCAACAGCTGATCGCCCGAACTGTTTTCGGCAAATGACAACCGGCGAATAGGTGAGTACTAACGATAAAACTAAACACCGATTCGCCAACGTTTTCGCATAGTCCATGTTAGTTTGAAAGTATTTCAAGGAGACCCTCCTTCTCATTGCTCTAGAGTCGGATTAAACTGGCGATTTTTATCATAATTATCGCATAATCAACGCTCACATAGCATCACGGTGGTTTAACTAGCTTTTGTTGGCTAACTGTAATTTTATTCGTCCTTGCTCATTGTAGCACTTGCAATTAATTTATGAGTAGACACACACCTATTTGCTGAAGACAATATTTACAAAATTTTAATTAATGCTGATTTTACCAATCTGTTCAATATTAATTAAAACCTGTACTAATGAGACAGCTAGTAGGTATGGTATGTTCATTAGAATAGATGATGAAAATTAAATACGAAGTTGTAAGTTTTCCAAAATACACAAAAACGTAAGAAAATGACTAACCAGGTGATGAAAAATTAAGACAACATTGACAGTTTTCACACACCAAATTAACATACATTATCCATATTCAAATCGACTCTTGTATGTGTTAATATACAAAATAACACCTTATTAAGTCTTAAGCAGTAAAATAAACAAAGAACCTTCCAATTCACCACATTTTAGCAGTTAATTACACCTATTATTTTGAACTAAATGCTGTTAATAACATTGACCTCCTTTGAGTATCATGGTCCATGATTAGTCAATAAAGCAGAAAAAAATGTATAATTTGTTACTCAGGTAAAAAGTGCAGTGGACATTTTAATGTCTGAAAGTAACGGTTTCAGACATTAAGAAATGTCCACTAATCATAAAAACGATTAATAAAACGTGAGCTACGTTAGGCACTTAAACTAAGAAACTAATTTCTCTACATTAAGATTTCTTAGAACAAAACGCGCTATATTTCTTTTTACTATTATAAGTAGATATTTCAATGAAATCGTGGTTCTAGAGTGCCCACATTGACATTAACCGGTGCCCTTTTAATAAATAGCGACTTCCCCTCACCCTATATTTATGTAGGTTGTCTTTGCAGGTGGTAGAGTGTAAAGGGTATGGATTAGTACAAACGTAATATTTGTATAGTAGAAATGCAGACATGTACAAGATTATCTTTTTAATAAAAACCTACTTGTAAATTTTTATGACCTGTGCTACAAACGATCTAGCTCAACATCTAGCTGTCTTCGGGATTTGTTTTGGTTTCGTTTAGATTATTCGGCTCTCGAAACTGGTTTCAAATTTAGAGTCTGTAGTCTGCAACATGATTGAAAGTTCACGAACTTTGACATACTCTAATGCTTACTAAAGAAGATGAGGAGAAGATTTTATCTGTAGCAGACTCACCAAAAAGTAATATAATTTTATTATTAATTAATTTGGTTATACATTTTAATATTCGGTTGTTTCGTAATTTGGAAGAACCACCATTAGTATCGTTGTCATTTTTTATGCAGTTAAATGAACATCCTTTTTTTCTGATACTTTTAAGATTTTGGTTTCAAAGAAGGTACTTAAATGTGTTCGCAGTTTGTTGAACTTAGGTGGAAAAAGATCTGACCTTTAAGGGCGTTTGGTTGCAGTCTGCTAAAGGATACAGTCTGCTACAGAACGTAAAATTAGAAACATCCAATAATACAAGAAAAAAATAAGGCCATATTATACATACGAGTAATTTAATTTTTACATGCCCTGTAACGGAAATGCTACAATAAATGAATTCTAACTGCACAATACATTTTTTGCGTGTTGTATTGTATGACAGTTGGTTTTGTGGGTAGTACCTATTTGAATCAAACATTTCAAAACTCGATAAGCAGGTTCTGTTCACTAACAATGCGAGCGAAGAAAGGCGTGTCAATATCATTCATTTAAAATCGTAGTTTCAATTGAAATCATGCATTAATGCTACTAGCTATTGTGACGAGTTATTATATGTATATTTGCGATCTATTAACATTTTGTGTAATTGCTAATTATTTCTACAAATACTCGTACATGTAATGTGCAAACTTAATTTGAATGAATACCATAAATTATGATGTAGAGCTCTATACATATAATATACCTACTTGTAGATTATTAAATCTTAGGGGAGAATATAGGATGTTTGTCTAGGTATATAAATGAAATCTTACAAAGTTAAAACTATAAGATTTTCATTTAATAATCACTAGAGTATACTGCACTAGCGTGTTGTCTTATTATTAATACACCATTACAAAAAAAACTTTTGTGGTTTTGCGAACCATAATTATTCAAAATTCTGAGAATATTATAATATTTTTTATATTCATAATCTAACATTTATTATAAAGACCATGGTCTTGTCAGCGTAATTTTATTTGGAGGGTCTAGGTCAACCTGTATAATTTACATTCTTTTGTCTCTCAAAGCTGATGTTGCATCTGAAACATTGTGTCCGGTTAACGCCCTGTCCTAAATGAAAATCATTAAGTTGACCTAGAAGAATGGTTAGTAGTACAAAAAGAAATGTTTTCACTTCACCGAGTGGCTCTAACCGCTTATTGCCTGAGAACCTTTGATTTTTATGTTTGATTGTGTGTTATAGTGGTCATAATGGGTGGTGGTCATGCAATGTCCCAGCAAAGCAATTTAGATACGCCGAAAACGTTGAAAATAGTCGTAAGTCTAAGTTTTTGTTGGAGTTGCAGGTAATTTAATCAAAAACGACCATTGGGCAAAATAACGACCATTAGATAGTGGTTGAACTGCCTTGAAAATGTTTTCAATGCTACGCCATTACTGTTAGTATATTTTTTAAGTAAAACTCTAGAAGCTTCTAATGAATTCGATTTGATCGAGTCTTTCAATCGAGGCTACTCGTATATTTATTGATTAAAGGAGTACAATTAATTGTTAATTTGAACAATTAATATTATTATCAATTAATTAATTAATAGCTCTTTAAGTAACTGAAAATGCACAAACTGTATGTTTAATAAATAATTGAGATTGACCATTGACTTTCAGTGTTAATATAAAAAAATATAATCTCGCCTATTTTTATTGTCGTATGCCAGACAGAATTAGATTATACTAGCGGCCGCCCGCGACTTCGTACGCGTGAATCCCGTTTTTCCCGCTAATTCCCGTTCCCGTGGGAATTTCGGGAATTCCTTTCTTAGTGCACCTCTACGGTACCTAAGCTACGTCCCTTCCAAATTTCAAGTGCCTACGTTTAGCCGTTTAGGCTGTGCGTTGATCTGTCAGTCAGTCAGTCAGTTTCTCCTTTTATATATTTAGATTAGATTATAATAAGCAGGACTTTAAGTGATAATATTGTCACATTTTTCAGATACCTGAAGTGACACGTCGTATACTCGAACTCTTATCTTCATACCTACCTGTTGGCATGCAGCAAATCGAATATGCAGTATAGTATATGCTACACTGCTTGTATAGTATGCAGCCGAAATGAGCCTTTTTGTTCCTTTGGGTTGCTTGAGTTCGATGCACTGTTACAAACCCTTCAAGAGTGTGGTTTATAAATAAACTTAAGAATTCCTTCACACAAGGAAAAAAAACATAATTAACCAACCTTTTTCAAATGGTTTTTATACAAAAGTGACAAGAACTTTGTAATTTTTTGTACTATACGGAGTTTGACAAAAACTGAATGGTTGGTTGCATAAATTAAGGATTCTGACGTCTTATTAATGACTCATGCTATTGAAATATACAAACATACAAAAAATTAAAATATCTCTTAGCGGATATTATTTAAATTAGTTATTCTACTAATTAGTATTCAGAAACATTACGACACTTTTTACACAGGAAGTACGTAGCGCAGTTCCAAATATTTGGCTATATTTTATTTAAGTTAATTGCAATAAAAATACAGATTCTACAAAGAACTAACTATGATAATAATGGTTAGTGAGACTTTTGCTTGCATTGTCTTCAAATTATATTAGCGAGAAAAAAACGGAACAAACTTACGCTCACTTCTGTTAACCGCGATGTGTGGATTTAAGTCACTTTTGTTGGACCACTTTCTCACTATTTTGAAGGACTTTAACCTTCCGAATCCACGGCCTCTCTGTAGAATCTGAGTGGGGATTTGATCCTGCATTTTCTCTACAGTGTCCCTAGATAGTACGCGCACAGATAATAATAATACTAGTACGCGGTAGCGAATTAATAAAATGGTCTGTGACTCTATCGAAGTGCCTTTTGTAGTACCTAACTATTCAAAGTAAATATACCTAGGTATCTTATTTGTATCTTAGGCATCATCGAAGTTTATGTTTAGCATCCGACTGGTACATTCGATCACCTAATCGCGCAACTAGTATGCATATATAGGTATGTCCTTCCGAATGACCACGCGCTGCTCGGTTTTGAAACCGCGAGGCCGCCCGGTCGGCTGCGCCTGCGCCGCCAGTGATCATCCGCGGGAATTGCGATAGATACGGCGAGATGTATATTATTATACTGTAGTAGGAACAGTAATCTGGAGTTGGACTAAACGCTCTTGCGGTGCAGAAGAAATAACATTAATTTAGTTGCGTTTAACTTCTTTCCGGTATTTAAGGCATACCGATGTCCGGTGAAAATTTTTTTAGGAAAGAAAATTATGTCAGGTTTCAGTTTCATAATTTTCCGTTTATAATCTAGTTAATGATTGTCAATACGTAAAACTTTAAAACCAAATTCCAGTAGGTACTCCGACGACTCTTATCAACAAAGATCTATGAGATTTTAATAAGAAGTCTCGCTAGTTTTAGAAAATTTGTTGACTTTTTAAATAATACTAACGAATAATATAATTTACCTCTATGTAGTACCTTCATAAAATGACTACGTTTCTTACAATTGAGTTCATTTATTCCAAGCACAAATATTTAATTAAATAAAATTGAGTTATGTTTTTGCGCAAACATCCTTCATGGTGAGTAATATCACTTAGTGAACTACGGAAAACGGCTAACATACTTACGATAATATAACATAACTTACGATAACATACCTAATTACGATAGG